ACAACAACAACAACAACAACAATCACCTGGGTGGGAGGGGGGAGAGGGAGGAGGGAGGGAGGTTTCGGTGATGGGTCACAATAACTAACTACATTGTATATTGACAAAATAAAAATAAAAATAATAAAATAAAATAAAATAAATAAAACAAAGGCTTTGAATCTAAAAGCGAAAGTACCAAGATGGTTTTGGCTACAGATGCAAGCAAAGGAAGGGCCCACTGTTCAGTTACTCATTCATTTCTTCACTCATTTATTTGACAACTGTTTACTGAATATCTACTGATCTCAGGCACGATGCTAGATCCTGGGGATGCAAAGATGGTTAAGAGATGTTCCCTGCCCGTAGGAGCTCACAATCCCATGGAGAAGGCAGGTAAGTAAAAAATTACAATAAAGGTATAAATGGAAAGTTCTATGAGATCACAGAGTAAAGAAGCAACTCACTCTGCTTGAGGTGGTGGAAGGGGTGGTGCTTGGGGCGGGAGACAGAAGGGGCTGTTCCAGGTCCGGACAAGCTTTTGAGCAAAGGCACAGAAATGTAAAAGCACATATTCAGGTGAATCCTGAGCAGCCTCCATGGCGGGTAGATTGAGATCAGTCTTAACAGTCACACCAAGCTAGAGAGACAGCAACCATGGCTGGTCACTTTTTAACAACACAGTGAATTTAAGAACTTCACTGTTGAAGTTCCTTGACCAAAGTTCCTTGAATTTTACAACTTTGGGCACATATTCAGTATGGCTCTTTGAGTGCTCAGTAAATAAGAATGAAATGAGCCAGGGTTGGGTGACCAGGAATTGAGACAATTTCAGAAAGTCCTGTTGGCTGTGGCTGCAAGCTGGGCCCATCGAACACCAGCTCCAGGTCATTGTTCCTGAAAAAGACAGAAGGAACAGTAATAATATTTTCTGAACAACAGACTGTTCTTCCTGAAAGTCTTGATCACCAACCAGAAAAGAAAAAACAGATGATTTAAGGAGGAGGAAAGAACAGTCCAGAAACCTTGATATTTTTCTAGGACAATGAACAGAATTAGTCACTCAAATTCCCACCGCACTTCATATAGTTAATAATGATGATGATGATAAATAATATATTATAATTTTGTAGGTGCCTCCCCCAGAATTTTCTTATGTGGGGGTGGAAGTGTTGAGGAATAAAATAGAAGGTTTTTTTTTTTCCATTTTCTTATAATTCCCAGCCCCCTACACTGGGTGACTGTGGTCACTGCTGTCCCCCCTTGCCCTTCACCCCCAGCTTCCACTGACATGAATTGTGTTCCCCAAGGTTTATGTATTAGTAGCTTGGTCCCCACTGTGACTGTTAAGATGGTGGGAAATCCTATTATGGTAATTGAAAGGTGGGACCATGGAGAGGTGATTAGATTGTAGGACCATGCCTAGTGAATGGATTAATAATGGTGGTCAGGGGCATGGTTCTGAGGGCTTTAAAAGGAGAGCACATGACAGGTTCGTCTCTCTGCTCCAGCATTTCACAATGTGATACCCTACTGTCACTGTCACCACCACTAAGGCCTTCACCAAATGTGTTCTCTGGACTTTGGACTTCCAAGCCTCCAAAACTGTAAGCAATAAATTTTGTTTTCTTAGAAATTATTCAATTCTGTGAGTTTTGCTGTAAGTAACAGAAACAGACTGATACCCACCCCTTCCATCCTGGGAGGAGAGGAGAGGAAGGCAGGAGGGGCTGGACCAGAGTAAACACCTCTGGGAGACTTTCTCGTATCCATTACATTCACTCAGAAGTGAATGACATTGAAGCCCTTGAGGGAGAACCTGGAATATCACCTGCCCTTGCTTCCTCTCACCCCAGCGGAGGATTTTCCCAGGCAGGGAAAGAGTAGAAAGGTGTTCTAGGCAGGGGAATGGCACAGGCAAAGGCCTGGAGCCGTTAAGGTGGCGTGGCTTCCTCTCTCGGTAGCTGTATTTTTTCTTAAAGCTGCACCTGTAATTCATAATCACAGTTGCCACACACTGAATGCTTCCTAAGCACCAGGCATGATGCTAAGTTCTTGCGTTCATTAACTTATTAAATCTTCACGAAAGCTACTCTACCCACCTGCTGTAGATTGGATGCCCCCCCGCCCCGACCTTATTGAGGGTTAATCCCCACTGTAACTGTTGAGGGTGGGAAATCCTATTATGGTAATTGAAAGACGGGGCCTTGAAGAGGTGATTAGATGGTAGGATCATGCAGTAGGGAATGGATTAATAATGGTGGATGGGGAGTGGTTCTGCGGGCTTTAAAAGGAGAGTACATGAGGAGGTTGGCCTCTCTCTCTGCTCTGCCATTTTCTGCCACGCGAGACCCCTGCACTGCTGTAGAGTCACCTCAACAGCTGTGTTCCCTGGACTATGGAGTGTATTGCTCCAAAACTGTAAGGAATACATTTTTTTTTATACATCACACAGTTCCAGGTATTTTGTTATAAGCAAAAGAAATGGACTAATACACCCTTTCCGTGCTATGTGGCTCTGTTTAAATTCCAAGTCTTCAGAGGCCTCCTTGACCGCACCTCCTAAAGCTGTCACCCCTCCCTGACCCCATTATTTCCCATTGCAGCACCTTGTTTTGCCACTTCTTAGCAATCGTATTAGTTTCTCATGCTATTATAAAAAAATTGCCACAAACTCAACTGCTTAAAACAATACAAATTTATTGTCTCGTGTGTAGTTCCATAGGTTAGAAGTCCAACGTGGGTCTCAGTGGGCTACCATCAAGAGGTCAGGAGGGCTGCCTTCCTTCTGGAAGCTCTAGGAGACAACCTGTTTCCTCAGCTTTTCCAGCTTCTAAGGCCACCGCATTCCTTGCATTACGGTCCCCGCCTCCATCTTCAAAGCCAACAGTGCCAGGCTATGTCCTTCCCACGCGGCCGTCCGTCTGGTCTCTCCCTCCTGCCTTCCTCTTGGAGCCCGTGCTCAGGATCTCCTGCAATGGGTCATGCACTAGCTGAGGACAGAAGCTCGGTTCACTGTCTTGCTTCCTTCACGTTGGCTGGATGGTGGCTGATGCCCTGTCATGCTCAGTAAGTCCCCCTCAAATGAATGAGTTATTATGATTCTGTTGTGATGGTCATTAACACCCCTTTATAATAATGGCTAGTATTCAGGGAGCGCATGCACGAAGTCAGATGCTGTGCAAAGTGGTTTTCAGGGATAGTCTCACTGAAATCTGGCAGCGACCCTGTGACAAAGTAGTCATGTCCCTATTCACAGCTGAGGAGACTGACACTTGGAAAGATTGAGTAGCTTGTTTCAGGACACACAGGCAATAAGGGGGACAGAGGATTCCTCCCAGGCTGGTCTGCCTCCGGACACCCTGCACTCAGCCAAGCGACCCTGCCGCTTCTCTCCTGGGCTGGCCCCTGCTGCCAGGGAATGTCTAACTGCCTGGGCAAACCTCCAAGGCCCTTCACGTTGGTTTCTCTCTGGAGCCCCAGCCTTTCCCTGGACTCCCCCTTCTCCACTCCACTCCAGGTCCCCAGAACTCAGGCCTTCCTGCCATCGCACGTAGTGCTGGCTCCTTGGGAGGCACCTGCCTCTCCCATTCTTTGCTGTACTAGTTCTATGCATTCTTCCAAACTCAGCTCAGATTATTCTTCACTTCACACCCATGAAGATGGCTATGACTTTTAAAAAAATGGAAAATAACACGTGTTGGTGAGGATGTGGAGAAACTGTAACGCTCATGCGCTGCTGGTAGAAGTGAAAAATGGAGCAGCTGCTGTGGAAAACAGTTTGGTGATTCTCAGAGTCTCTGGGTTGAGGAAAAAGTTCTGAAAATGGAAAGTGGTGATGGTTGCACGACATTGTGAATGTACTGAATGCCACTGAACTGTACACTTGAAAATGGGTAAAATGGCAAATTGTATGTCCATTTTACCACAGTTAAGAAACAAAAAAAATAAGTTATTCCTCTGGGCTCCATTGTATTGGGTCTTCTCTTTATAACACAAGGAATACTGCGATATAATGTGCTATTTTTTTCTCTGGTCTCTGTTGGCTGTGTGCTCCCTCGGTCCAGTGACTGTGCCTGACAGTATCGGGCACAATTCAGTCATTAATATGCATTTTGTTTTAAAGAAAGAAGAAATGAATGACATTTATGGGGCATTTTTGGAAGCCTGTTCACGTACAGAATACGCTTCATAGAGGCGTGCTCCTCTAGGGGAACTGAGTGTTCATCTCACAGTCCAGGAGAACAGCTGGTGCCCTTGAATACTTAGCAGGGAGTTATTATCCTGCCTCTGTTTCTCCAGGAGGGTCAGCTCTGAGGCAGATTGGGACAGAGACCACACAGGTCATGGAAAGAACTTATCAGAAGGATTGCTTCCCCAACACATTAAGCCTGGAGAGGTGGGGGCCTACTTAACCTCTATTGTCCATTGTGCATTGTGGAAGTTGTGATGTGTAAGGTCCCTGGGGGCTAAGTAAGGCTCTGCCCATGAACTTGGAGAGAAGGGAAATGAGGGGGGCCCTATGCAGATGAGAGGAATGAAATTCCTACATCGGGGAGGAAAAGAATGACTTTCTAGGCCAAGAGGAAGAGGACCTCACTGTAATTCAATCAGCAACAGCAGCATATTTAAGAGGCAAAACGTGTAAAGTGCAGGCAGAGGGTCGGAAAAACAAAGTCGGCATTCCGCCTCAAGCACCCTGCAGGGAGAACAGACAGGCCTGGCTGACCTGTCTCTTCACAGACCACATCCCTGTGTTCACCGGTGAGGCTGCCCAGGCACCTTCACTCAAAGGAGGGGCTGCCTGGGTGTCAGAGCTGAGAATTCCTGTGACAAGACAGGCGGCCTCCCTCTTGTAAATCAGAGAGCTGCCACGTGGCTTATAGTTTAGGTCCCTGTGACGTCAAGGGATTGAGTGCCCCTCTGAGTCCTGTTTGCCTGACAAATCTTCCAAATGCAGCTCCAGTGCCACTTGTTCCAGGAAGCCCACCAGCCGGTCACCACCACTCCTGGACCCCTGTGCCCATGAATGCTTTGACCAGAGTCAGAGCTGTTTTATACATTAAGTAGTACAGAGAAATTACTAATACGAAAACAAAAAGTCCACGTCCACGCCATACACAGGCAGAATCAGAGTGAAAAAATACAGTGGTCTTAACCTGTTATGCTTAAAAGACATAACAATTACAATTCCCTGAAGTTGATACAAGCAAACAGAAAGGACATCGTTGGGAGGGAGGGGGCAGAGGGAGGAAGGAGGGAGGTTTCAGTAATGGGCCGCAATAATCCATCACATTGTATATTGACAAAATAAAAAAAATAAAAATATAATAAAAAATACTTTACTTCTGCAAATTTTACAAAACACATGTCCACGTGAACGCATTGCTCGGTCC